CAGACTCACGTCACTACTTAGCATCCAGAGCACTTACCTCCTAGACTTCCTTTCTAAGTGTTTAATGGTGTTCTCATCTCGAGGACGAGGACTGGTGGAACTATAAAGTGGTAAAGGAAAGGTTGGAACTCATATGTCCTGCTCACCATCAACAGCACTTACCACAAAACGATCTAATCCTGAAGGAGTTGAGGTGCTCATTCTCCTATTTCACCAGGACGAGGACTGGTGGAATTATAAAGCAGCAAAGGAGTGGTTTGGCCTTCACAGCACCTTCTCACCAACCCAAGCACTTACCACCCAGTCATAACCATCTCTTAGTGTGTTCATCCTTCTTTGTTTTCCAGAACTGGTGGAATTTTAAAGCAATAAAGGATTGGTTGAAACTCATTGTACATTCTCCGTATCTACAACACTTACCTCAAATCTGCTCCTCACAGGGTTTGGTGTGCTTGTCCTATTTCTCCAGGAATGGTTGACACTCCTTGTACATTCTCAGTATCTACAGCACTTAACTCCCATCTCTGCTCCTCACAGGGTTTGGTGTGCTTTTCCTATTTCTCCAGGAATGGTTGACACTCATTGTACATTCTCCGTATCTACAACACTTACTCCCATCTGCTCCTCACAGGGTTTGGTGTGCTTTTCCTATTTCTCCAGGAATGGTTGACACTCATTGTACATTCTCAGTATCTACAGTACTTACCTCCCATCTGCTCCTCACAGGGTTTGGTGTGCTTGTCCTATTTCTCCAGGAATGGTTGACACTCCTTGTACATTTTCAGTATCTACCAACTTACCTCCCATCTGCTCCTCACAGGGTTTGGTGTGCTTGTCCTATTTCTCCAGGAATGGTTGACACTCATTGTACGTTCCCAGTATCTACAGCACTTACCACCAATCTGCTCCTCACAAGGTATGGTGTGCTTGTCCTATTTCTCCAGGAATGGTTGAAACTCCATGTACATTGTCCATATCTACAGCACTTACCTCCCATCTGCTCCTCACAGGGTTTGGTGTGCTGTCCTATTTCTCCAGGAATGGTTGAAACTCCATGTACATTGTCCATATCTACAGCTATTACCTCCCATTTGCTCCTCACAGGGTATGGTGTGCTTGTCCTGTTTCTCCAGGAATGGTTGAAGCCCATTGTACATTCTCAGTATCTACAGCACTTACCTCCCATCTGCTCCTCACAGGGTTTGGTGTGCTTGTCCTGTTTCTCCAGGAATGGTTGACACTCCTTGTACATTCTCAGTATCTACAGCACTTACCTCCCATCTGCTCCTCACAAGGTATGGTGTGCTTGTCCTATTTCTCCAGGAATGGTTGACACTCCATGTACATTCTCAGTATCTACAGCACTTACCTCCCATCTGCTCCTCACAGGGTTTGGTGTGCTTGTCCTATTTCTCCAGGAATGGTTGACACTCACTGTACATTCTCAGTATCTACAACACTTACCTCAATCTGCTCCTCACAGGGTTTGGTGTGCTTGTCCTGTTTCTCCAGGAATGGTTGACACTCATTGTACATTCTCAGTATCTCCAGCACTTACCTCCAATCTGCTCCTCATAGGGTTTGGTGTGCTTGTCCTATTTCTCCAGGAATGGTTGACACTCCTTGTACATTCTCAGTATCTACAACACTTACCACCAATCTGCTCCTCACAGGGTATGGTGTGCTTGTCCTATTTCTCCAGGAATGGTTGACACTCCTTGTACATTCTCAGTATCTACAACACTTACCTCCCATCTGCTCCTCACAGGGTATGGTGTGCTTGTCCTATTTCTCCAGGGCAATGAGTGGTGGAATTATAAATTCATGATACAAACTCACAGCTCCTTCTCACCATTCCAAACACCTATCTCTTACCCATCTGCTCCACCTGGAAGACCATTGGTTCTCCTCTTAGTTCTGAATTCCTCCAATGCTCGGTGTAAAAACAGCAATGAAGGGGATTGAACCTGTGATGAGAAATCACCAGCCATCTCCATTGACTTGATGAGCCACTTCTGACTAAGAAACCAACGCTTTAAAAAAAAAAAAACACTAAATCACTTTACGGCGATGAGGTCACAGGTTGGGACGGGAATCTTCCGATCAGCTCTGATTTTTATCAGGAACAAAATAATTCACAAATTGAACCCCCGTTAAATATTTAATGTGAACTTCTTTGGTCATTTTTGAAGGACGCTTGCTTGTAATTTGGTGGATCATGTGTGACGTAGGAGGGGTGTGCGGGGAGATCTTCATGTCTGTGGAGAACCATCTCTGAGCTGAGGAATTGTTTGTAGTAACGGAGATGAGTCCTGACTAGAGCAGATGGAGTGTTGGGATGGGCGATGTGTTGTGTGCTCATAGGACTCTATTATAGAAGGAGTCACCTATCTCAGAGTGGCTTGTTCTTCGGTTCTCCTTCCTTTATATCAGGAATAATATTTCCACATGTCCCAGAGCAGGAAATAGAAGGAACGTTCGTTCCGGGTTCTCCCAATAGAAGCTTCAGGTGCTGAGATCGGGATCTGGGCGTAATCCCTCACTGGTTTGATGTTCCCTTCCGTGTGAAGTCATTCCCCTCTGGCTATGTCCTCTGTCCTAAGCTTGAGCTACAGGTTGGGACGGGCGATGTGTTAGGTGACTCCTTCTATAATAGAGTCCTATGAGCACACATCTTAGAGTGTTCCGTTCTTCGGTTCTCCTTCCTTTATATCAGGAATAATATTTCCACATGTCCCAGAGCAGGAAATAGAAGGAACATTCGTTCCGGGTTCTCCCAATAGAAGCTTCAGGTGCTGAGATCAGGATCTGGGCGTAATCCCTCACTGGTTTGATGTTCCCTTCCGTGTGAAGTCATTCCCCTCTGGCTATGTCCTTCTCTGTCCTAAGCTTGAGCTACAGGTTGGGACGGGCGATGTGTTGTGTGCTCATAGGACTCTATTATAGAAGAAGTCACCTAACACATCGCCCGTCCCAACCTGTAGCTCAAGCTTAGGACAGAGGACATAGCCAGAGGGGAATGACTTCACACGGAAGGGAACATCAAACCAGTGAGGATTACGCCCAGATCCTGATCTCAGCACCTGAAGCTTCTATTGGGAGAACCCGGAACAAACTTTCCTTCTATTTCCTGCTCTGGGACATGAGGAAATATTAGCCCTGATATATAAAGAAGGAGAACCGAAGAACGAGCCACTCTGAGATAGGTGACTCCTTCTATTAGAGAGTCCTATGAGCACACATCTCAGAGTGGCTCGTTCTTCGGTTCTCCTTCCTTTATATCAGGGATAATATTTCCACATGTCCCGGAGCAGGAAATAGAAGGAAAGTTTGTTCCGGGTTCTCCCAATAGAAGCTTCAGGTGCTGAGATCAGGATCTGGGCGTAATCCCTCACTGGTTTGATGTTCCCTTCCGTGTGAAGTCATTCTTCTCTGGCTATGTCCTCCTCTGTCCTAAGTTTGAGCTACAGGTTGGGACGGTCGATGTGTTGTGTGCTCATAGGACTCTATTATAGAAGGAGTCACCTATCTCAGAGTGGCTCGTTCTTCGGTTCTCCTTCCTTTATATCAGGGCTAATATTTCCTCATGTCCCAGAGCAGGAAATAGAAGGAAAGTTTGTTCCGGGTTCTCCCAATAGAAGCTTCAGGTGCTGAGATCAAGATTTCTGCGTAATCCCTCACTGGTTTGATGTTCCCTTCCGTGTGAAGTCATTCTCCTCTGGCTATGTCCTTCTCTGTCCTAAGCTTGAGCTACAGGTTGGGACGGGCGATGTGTTAGGTGCTCATAGGACTCTATTATAGAAGGAGACACCTAACACATCGCCCATCCCAACCTGTAGCTCAAGGTTAGGACAGAGGACATAGCCAGAGGGGAATGACTTCACACGGAAGGGAACATCAAACCAGTGAGGGATTACGCCCAGATCCTGATCTCAGCACCTGAAGCTTCTATTGGGAGAACCCGGAACAAACTTTCCTTCTATTTCCTGCTCCGGGACATGTGGAAATATTATTCCTGATATAAAGAAAGGAGAACCGAAGAACGAGCCACTCTGAGATGTGTGCTCATAGGACTCTATTATAGAAGGAGTCACCTATCTCAGAGTGGCTCGTTCTTCGGTTCTCCTTCCTTTATATCAGGGATAATATTTCCACATGTCCCAGAGCAGGAAATAGAAGGAAAGTTTGTTCCGGGTTCTCCCAATAGAAGCTTCAGGTGCTGAGATCAGGATCTGGGCGTAATCCCTCACTGGTTTGATGTTCCCTTCCGTGTGAAGTCATTCCCCTCTGGCTATGTCCTTCTCTGTCCTAAGCTTGAGCTACAGGTTGATTCGCCAAACCCTCTGCTGGTGGTACCCCTGGTTGGTAGAGGGCTCCACCTCATCCAGTTTCATTTGGGCGTTGGTCCTTCAGTCAGCTCCTGGGCCTCAGGGAGTTGCCAGTCCTCTTTCTGTGGGCTGTTAGCGGTTGTTGCTGTGTTGCCCTCCCCTCAGTAGGATTTCTTTTGGACGTCCCGACTTTTTGAATTCCTGTGTCCCTCAATGGATCGTAAAATCCTATTCTTGGAGTCCATTAAGGGACACAGGTCCAACCCATCTGTGTTTCTATTCATGCTCTTGGTACTCCTTGACCACAAAACTGAAGCATGCTGGGTAGAAGTCTACGGAGGCTGGGTTATGGTTTTTTTTTCTGGTTGCCCGTGTCCAGTTCTATTGTAGGAAGTAGTATATCCCAACTGTATATGAATTCCTGTGTCCCTCAATGAATTCTTAAGGATTTTACGGTAAGTTCAGAGATTCTATTTTCTGTCTCGTTGATTTTTGCCAACTGTTTATGGGGCCCCCAGTCTCCAAAACACATGAAAGACCTTAAAGTGAACCCGTTGTTTGCTATGAGCTGTACCTTAAAGAGCTATGGCTTCCCGTGTGACAGCATTGATAGGACCTTGGGAAAGGCGGTCCTCTCTGCTGTGTTTCATGGTGTCGTTGTGTGTCTTGCAGGAGATCGAGCAGAGGTTGCAGCACCAGGCCTCCTTATCCCCGGGCACCCCTCCAGCCATCAGCAAGCAGGAAAGCATCATACGGCATCACTCCATGAGACCGGTAGGTGGCCGGAGGAGAACAGAGCAGGGGAGAGCTACTTATAACATGACCGCATAGACCTGGGGTCTCCAAACTATGACCCTCCAGCTGTTGAAGTACTACAAGTCCCATCATGCCTCTGCCTCTGGGAGTCTTGCCTGTGGCTGTCAGAGTCTTGCAAGGCCTCATGGGACTTGCAGTTCCTCAACACCTAGTTTGGAGACCCTTGGCATAGACCGTTATCAATGTATCAAGGACTTTCTGTGACAAACGTGTTCCTGAATATAACACCCACATTAGGCTGCCGGGGGCACGTGAAGAAATTTGAATTGTAGGTTTCGTGTGTGTCCAGGCTTCCTGTCGCAAGTTACTGCAAAGCAGGAAAAAAGTTGCCTGAACTCCCATGATTCCTTGATGGCCTCAGTGACTCTACAGAGGACAACTCCCAACTTACTACAATTGTTTTTTTTGTCCCCACAGGCCGCCCAGCCACAGAGCACGCTGCAGAGAGGAATGCCCACCGCCCGCTCCATGCTCTCCAACTTCGCCCAGGCACCGCAATTACCCGTGGCTGGGAGCTTGCTTGGCATGCCAGGTACAGGAACCCTATTACTGGAATATACTGATAGCCGACCATGACTGGTCATTATCCAAATTCTGACCTTATATAGGGGTGTAGGCCGCGTATGTTGTGTTTTAGGCCTCGTTGGGTGCGGGGGTGTAGGCCGTGTATGTTGTGTTTTAGGTCAAGTTGGGTGGGGGGGGGGGGGTGTAGGCCGCGTACGTTGTGTTTTAGGTCTCGTTGGGTGCGGGGGTGTAGGCCCTGTGTGTTGTGTTTTAGGTCTTGTTGGATGCAGGGGGTGTAGGCTGCGTACGTTGTGTTTTAGGCCTCGTTGGGGGTGCGGGGGTGTAAGCCGTGTACGTTGTATTTTAGGCCTCGTTGGGTGTAGGCCGTTGTGTAGGCCGTGTATGTTGTGTTTTAGGCCTCGTTGGGTGTAGGTGTATGGTGTTTTAGGTCCGTTGGGTGTAGGTTGTGTTTTGTGTTTTAGGCCTCGTTGGGTGTAGGCCGTGTGTGTTGTGTTTTAGGCCTCGTTGGGTGTAGGCCTTGTATGTTGTGTTTTAGGTCTCGTTGGGTGTTTTAGGCCGTGTAGGCCGTGTATGTTGTGTTTTAGGTCTCGTTGGGTGTAGGCCGTTGGGTGTAGGCCGTTGTGTGTTTTAGGCCTCGTTGGGTGTAGGCCGTGTGTGTTGTGTTTTAGGCCTCGTTGGGTGTAGGCCGTGTATGTTGTGTTTTAGGCCTCGTTGGGTGTAGGCCGTGTGTGTTGTATTTTAGGCCTCGTTGGGTGTAGGCCGTGTATGTTGTGTTTTAGGCCTCGTTGGGTGTAGGCCGTGTATGTTGTGTTTTAGGCCTCGTTGGGTGTAGGCCGTGTACGTTGTGTTTTAGGCCTCGTTGGGTGTAGGCCGTGTATGTTGTGTTTTAGGCCTCGTTGGGTGTAGGCCGTGTACGTTGTGTTTTTAGGCCTCGTTGGGTGTAGGCCGTGTAGGCCGTGTTGTGTTTTAGGCCTCGTTGGGTGTAGGCCGTGTATGTTGTGTTTTAGGCTCGTTGGGTGTAGGCCGTGTACGTTGTGTTTTAGGCCTCGTTGGGTGTAGGCCGTGTATGTTGTGTTTTAGGCCTCGTTGGGTGTAGGCCGTGTATGTTGTGTTTTAGGTCTCGTTGGGTGTAGGCCGTGTGTGTGTTTGTGTTTTAGGCCTCGTTGGGTGTAGGCCGTGTATGTTGTGTTTTAGGCCTCTTGGGTGTAGGTGTGTTGTGTATGTTGTGTTTTAGGCCTCGTTGTTGTGTAGGCCGTGTGTAGGCGTTGTTGTTTTTAGCCTCGTTGGGTGGGGTAGGCCGTGTATGTTGTGTTTTAGGTCTCGTTGGGTGTAGGCCGTGTACGTTGTGTTTTAGGTCTCGTTGGGTGTAGGCCGTGTATGTTGTGTTTTAGGCCTCTTGGGTGTAGGCCGTGTATGTTGTGTTTTAGGCCTCGTTGGGTGTAGGCCGTGTACGTTGTGTTTTAGGCCTCGTTGGGTGTAGGCCGTGTATGTTGTGTTTTAGGCCTCGTTGGGTGTAGGCCGTGTACGTTGTGTTTTAGGCCTCGTTGGGTGTAGGCCGTGGGTGTGTTTGTGTTTTAGGCCTCGTTGGGTGTAGGCCGTGGTGTGTTGTGTTTTAGGCCTCGTTGGGTGTAGGCCGTGTGTGTTGTGTTTTAGGCTCGTTGGGTGTAGGCCGTGTGTGTTGTGTTTTAGGCCTCTTGGGTGTAGGCTGTGTGTGTTTGTGTTTTAGACCTCGTTGGGTGCAGGGGTGTAGGCCGTGTATGTTGTGTTTTAGGCCTCATTGGGTGTAGGCCGTGTACGTTGTGTTTTAGGCCTTGTTGGGTGTAGGCCGTGTACGTTTGTATTTTAGGCCTCGTTGGGTGTAGGCCGTGTATGTTGTGTTTTAGGCCTTGTTGGGTGTAGGCCGTGTGTGTTGTATTTTAGGCCTCGTTGGGTGTAGGGTGTGTGTTTTAGGCCGTGTTGGGTGTAGGCCTTGTACGTTGTTTTTAGGCCTCATTGGGTGTAGGCCGTGTATGTTGTATTTTAGGCCTCGTTGGGTGTAGGCCGTGTAGTGTGTTGTTGTTTTTTAGGCCTCGTTGGGTGTAGGCCGTGTATGTTGTGTTTTAGGCCTCTTGGGGTGTGGGCCGTGTATGTTGTGTTTTAGGCCTCATTGGGTGTAGGCCGTGTACGTTGTGTTTTAGGCCTTGTTGGGTGTAGGCCGTGTACGTTGTGTTTTAGGCCTTGTTGGGTGTAGGCCGTGTGTGTTGTGTTTTAGGCCTTGGGTGGGCGTGTAGGCCGTGGGGGGTTGGCGTTGTGTTTTTAGGCCTTGTTGGGTGTAGGCCGTGTACGTTGTGGGACCCTCTTTGTACTTTAGTCCCACGTTTGCATGCCTAGGGACTTCTTGTATATTTACCATTAGCATCCAATAGCATTTGTTCTTTTCCTGGTCCCCCCTCCCTTGTTAATGACTTCTCTCCCCCCCCCCCCAGGTGTGAACATTGCGTACCTGAACGCCGGAATGGGAGGCCATAAACCCGTCACCCTGGCAGACCGGCAGCGGGAGTACCTCCTGGATATGATCCCCCCACGTTCCATATCGCAGTCCATCACTGGGCAGAAATAGCCCCAGCGTACCCCCATCCCCCCACCAACACCCCCGCATCGGACAGACTGGCAGACCTTACCGAGGCCTGGGATGAGCCAGTCCAACCCCCTCCCCCACCCTCCTTCCCTCCAAGAGCAGCTTATAAAGGGTCAGTGTTGTGCTTGTTTTTGTCCTCAGAACTGGCTTCGCTTTTATTTTAAGAGGTTTTTTTTTTGTTTTTTTTTTTTTTTTATATACTTTTTATTTTTTTCTCGCTGGTGCCACCGGAATACTATAAGAAAAAAAACTTTATTTGGATCACTCCTCCTTCTGGTGGCCGGGGAGGGGGGGGGGCTGCCGGTGACCCCAAGATACCCCCTTTTTTTTTTCACATGGGGGAGGTGGTGCTATTCTGCCACATGCCACACCCCCCTCCGCACCGCAGGGGGAGGGGCAGCCTGTGATGACTTCCCGTCGCCACCTTTCAGAAGCTCTGCAGTGCAGAGTATTACTCTCCGTTAAACGGACAAGAAAAAGAAAAAAAAAGGAATTGCCGTGTTTTCTCTGGACGTTCTGCTGCTGCCCCGCCCCCCCCCCCCACGCCACGCCCCACCCCCGACCGCAGGAAGGTGCGGCTGTCGGAGATCCGTATGAAGACGCCCGGAGGTTTGACCTTTATTTGCACTAAGCGTGTGCCCATCGCGCCGCAAGCAGCGTCTTCACCAGCAGGATAAAGCACACCCCACCCTCCCCTCCCCCACCACCCACCTTTGACTTTGGCAGCCCCCCCCCAGTGGACAAGGACCAGGGGGGGGGGGGACGTACCGGAGGACACCCTCGATCCGACATGGATTTTGCAGTGTTTCGGCAGCTCGCTCGCGGGGTATGACCCCGCCCCTCCCCTTCAAAGGGCCCCACCCCCCCCACCCTGCACCGGAGTGCCACCTACTTTGTGTTTACTGTGTCTTGGGGACCTCCGCAGTATAAAGACCCCCCAAGTTGTATTACATTACAGAAAAAAAAAAAAAAAAATAGCACTTAACCCTTTAAAGGAATCCTTTATCGGACTTTTGCTGCAAAAAAAGTGACTTCGTTTCCATGGTGACGAGCGGCGTGGTGCAAAACTATCAGTGTTAGTCCAGTGGCGTCGTGCCGAGAGGTCGCAGGCCTCCCACCCTGGCAGTACTATGATCCTACGGGGGATTTGCCCCCCTCCCCCCCCCCCCCCCACCCCCGACTCCACTCTCCCCCCCCCCCACCCCCACCCAAGCAAAATGTAAAAAAACAAAAAAACAGCTCCTTCCACTTTCACTCAGTGTTATCGGGGCGGCTGCGCAGCACTTCCCCCCGGAGCCCAGCAGGGGGCGCACATCAGATCACAAAATGGAAAAAAAAAGTCAGTTGCCAAAAAAAAAAATTTTTTTAAATATTCCCCCCCCCCCATCCCCCCATCCCCCCATCCCGAACTCCTTCATCTTTACCGCAATGAAGAGAAACAACAACAGCGGAGGTTTTTTTTTTTTGTAGTGCGGTCATGCACACCCGGGAGCTGGGAGACAGCAGGGGGGCTCTTTGTACAACACTTCTATGTTCGTTCTGTGCGAAATCATAAACAACGAATGTTACTGAGGATATGTTCTGCTTCTGGACGAACGGGTTGTTTTTTTTGTGGTGAAGTACCGCCTTAACGGCCGCTAGGTGGAGCTGAGGAGCGCAGGAAAGACAATAAAACTAACAAGGGATACAATGTAACAATTCGCAAGCACGCCAGAGGGAATAAACGATACAATGTAGCCGAGGGGATTGTGACCATCAGCTACATTGATTTGTTTATTCCCTCTAGTGTTCTCTAGATTTGTTACATTGTATCCCTTGTTATGGCGTCTTTCCTGTGCTCCTCAGCTCCATCTAGGGCCATCAGGCGGTACTTCACCACTGTACATGTAGCCAATGGTCACAATGCCCCTGGCTACATTGATTTGTTTATTCCCTCTAGTGTTCTCTAGATTTGTTACATTGTATCCCTTGTTATGGCGTCTTTCCTGCGCTCCTCAGCCCCATCTAGTGGCCGTAAGGCGGTACTTCACCACTGTAAATGTAGGGAATAAACAAATCAATGTAGCTGATGGTCACAATCCCCTCTGGCGTTCTTGCGAATTGTTACATTGTATGCCTTGTTATGGCGTCTTTCCTGCGCTCCTCAGCCCCATCTAGGGGCCGTAAGGCGGTACTTAATCCAATGTAGCCGAGGGGATTGTGACCATTGGCTACATTTACAGTGGTGAAGTACCGCCTTACGGCCGCTAGATGGGGCTGAGGAGCGCAGGAAAGACGCGGTATCAGGTGATACAATGTAACAAATCTAGGAGAGAACACTAGAGGGAATAAACAAATCAATGTAGCCGAGGGAATTGTGACCATCAGCTACATTGTGTTGTTTATTCCTTCTAGCTTTCCTGCGAATTGTTACATTGTATCCCTTGTTACGTTGTCTTTCCTGCGCTCCTCAGCCCCATCTAGTGGCCGTAAGGCGGTACTTCACCACTGTAAATGTAGCCAATGGTCACAATGCCCCTGGCTACATTGATTTGTTTATTCCCTCTAGTGTTCTCACTAATTGTTACATTGTATCCCTTGTTACCGCGTCTTACCTGCTCTCCTCAGCCCCATCTAGTGGTCATAAGACGGTACATAACCCAATGTAGCCGAGGGGATTGTGACCATTGGCTACATTTACAGTGGTGAAGTACCGCCTTACGGCCACTAGATGGGGCTGAGGAGCGCAGGAAAGACGCTGTATCGGGCGATACAATGTAACAATTTGGGAGAACACTAGAGGGAATAAACAATACAATGTAGCTGATGGTCACAATAACCTCTGGTGTTCTCTAGATTTGTTACATTGTATCACCTGATACCGCGTCTTTCCTGCGCTCCTCAGCCCCATCTAGCGGCCGTAAGGTGGTACTTCACCACTGTAAATGTAGCCAATGGGCACAATCCCCTCAGCTACATTGGGTTATGTACCGTCTTATGACCACTAGATGGGGCTGAGGAGCGCAGGATAGACGCGGTATCAGGTGATACAATGTAACAAATCTAGAGAACACTAGAGGTTATTGTGACCATCAGCTACATTGTATTGTTTATTCCCTCTAGTGTTCTCCCAAATTGTTACATTGTATCGCCCGATACAGCGTCTTTCCTGCGCTCCTCAGCCCCATCTAGTGGCCGTAAGGTGGTACTTCACCACTGTAAATGTAGCCAATGGGCACAATCCCCCCGGCTACATTGTATTGTTTATTCCCTCTAGTGTTCTCTCCCAAATTGTTACATTGTATCGCCCAATACAGCGTCTTTCCTGCGCTCCTCAGCCCCATCTAGTGGCCGTAAGGTGGTACTTCACCACTGTAAATGTAGCCAATGGGCACAATCCCCCCGGCTACATTGTATTGTTTATTCCCTCCAGCGTTCTCCTGAATTGTTACATTGTATCACCCGTTACCGCGTCTTTCCTGCGCTCCTCAGCCCCATCTAGTGGCCGTAAGGCAGTACTTAATCCAATGTAGGCAAGGGAATTGTGACCATTGGCTACATTTACAGTGAAGTACCGCCTTACGGCCGCTAGATGGAGCTGTGGAGTGCAGGAAAGACAAGGTAACGGGTGATACAATGTAACAATTCAGGAGGACGCTAGAGGGAATAAACAAATCAATGTAGCCGGGGGGATTGTGACTATCGGCTACCTTGATTTGTTTATTTTTCTAGAATTGTTACATTGTATCCCTTGTTACATTGTCTTTCCTGCGCTCCTCAGCTCCATCTAGCGGCCATAAGGCGGTACTTCACACTGTAAATGTAGCCAATGGTCACAATCCCCTAGGCTACATTGGATTAAGTACTGCCTTATGGCCACTAGATGGGGCTGAGGAGCGCAGGAAAGATGCCGTAACAAGGAATACAATGTAACAAATCTAGAGAACGCCAGAGGGAATAAACAATACAATGTAGCCGGGGGATTGTGACCATTGGCTTCACTGATTTGCCTATTCCCTCTAGTGTTCTCTAGATTTGTTACATCGTATCCCTTGTTACCAAGTCTTTCCTGCGCTCCTCAGCTCCATCTAGAGGCCGTAAGGCGGTACTTAATCCAATGTAGCCTAGGGGATTGTGACCATTGGCTTCATTTACAGTGATGAAGTACCGCCTTACGGCCGCTAGATGGGGCTGAGGAGCGCAGGAAAGACGAGGTATCAGGTGATACAATGTAACAATTCGCAAGAACGCCAAATCAATGTAGGGAATTGTGACCATCAGCTACATTGATTTGTTTATTCCCTCTAGTGTTCTCTAGATTTGTTACATTGTATCCCTTGTTATGGCATCTTTCCTGCGCTCCTCAGCCCCAACTAGTGGCCATAAGGCGGTACTTAATCCAATGTAGTCGAGGGGATTGTGACCCATTGGCTTCATTGATTTGCCTATTCCCTCTAGTGTTCTCTAGATTTGTTACATTGTATCACCTGATACCGCGTCTTTCCTGCGCTCCTCAGCCCCATCTAGCGGCCGTCAGGCGGTACTTCACCACTGTAAATGTAGGGAATAAACAAATCAATGTAGCTGATGGTCACAATCCCCTCTGGCGTTCTTGCGAATTGTTACATTGTATGCCTTGTTATGGCGTCTTTCCTGCGCTCCTCAGCCCCATCTAGGGGCCGTAAGGCGGTACTTAATCCAATGTAGCCCAGGGGATTGTGACCATTGGCTACATTTACAGTGGTGAAGTACCGCCTTACGGCCGCTAGATGGGGCTGAGGAGCGCAGGAAAGACGCGGTAATCAGGTGATACAATGTAACAATTCTAGAGAACACTAGAGGGAATAAACAAATCAATGTAGCCGAGGGAATTGTGACCATCAGCTACATTGTGTTGTTTATTCCTTCTAGCTTTCCTGCGAATTGTTACATTGTATCCCTTGTTACGTTGTCTTTCCTGCGCTCCTCAGCCCCATCTAGTGGCCGTAAGGCGGTACTTCACC